ATTTATATAGTGTTTTATATAGGCAGTTTGGTGTCGTGGTTAAGTGCACGGACTCTAATCTGGGAGAACCGGGTTTGATTCCCCACTCCTCCACTTGCACCTGCTGGATGACCTTGGGCAAGCCATAGTTCTGGCACAGCTGTTCTTGAAAAAAGAGCCGTTTCTGTCAGAGCTTCCTCACAGGGTTTCCATTGTGGGGAAGGGAAGTGGAAGGAGGTTGTAAGCCGCTCTGAGACTCCTTTGGGTAGTGAAGGGCGGGATATCAATCCAATCTCCTCCTCCTACTCCTCCTCTTCTTCTTCGCAGCCTTGAGTTCCACAAGTGATAAAGGCAACTAATAAATATTTTAAATACATAAATTTAGTTTATTTATTTATAATTTGATATATATCCTGCCGTTCCCTAAGGCTCAGGGCGGCTAACAATTGGGGCAAAAGCCATATTTAAAACAATTAAAAACAGAATAAAAACGTAACAATAATACAACAAAGTGCTGGCGCTCTGATGTTCCCAGTTCCAAGAGGGGTTCCGGTAGGGTGGATCCGGACCAACGACGTAAGTTCCGAAACGGCAGATAACCAGTCTTCTGCCTTCCTCCTGTGTCAAGAGCCTGCGAGTGTGGCAGCTGGACCTAGTGGTTGGCATGTCGCACATTAATATCCTCCCACAAAAAAGGCAGCCTGTCCGTGCATAAAGGATGGCTTGAGCCGCAAATTTCCGAAGGGTGTGTGAACTGTGAAATGTGTCTGTTTTCAGAGAATGGTCCCATCTTACTAAGTGTATGTGTGTGTGTTTGCTAAGTGCCATCAACGAGACGACAAAACTCCCCCCCCCCCCCCCCCCCGGGTTGCCAGGTCCTACCTTTCTGCCGGCGGGAGCTTCTGCTCCGGAAGTGATGTTCATCACGCCGCCAATGTCACGCGGCAACACTCTAGTTTCTGGGCAAAACTGTATGCCCAATTTTACCATAGAGTTTTACCGAAAAACTAGAGTGGTAAGCAATGGTCCCTCTAAGCTGTGGAGTCTTGTGAGCAAAAATTCTACTTTGTGAGCTTCTGGCATTAAAGTTGTGAGCGAGCAATTTGGCTACTGCATAAATCAGTTTGCCATCCTTCCTGAGCGAAGACAAAAATCTGTGTGCCGGAGGCTAAAAAACTGTGAGCTAGCTCACACTAACTCAGCTTAGAGGGAGCACTGGTGGTGAGGTGACGTCACTTCGGGTGACATCATCACGCTGTGTTTGGGGGCATTTGCAGGCAGGGTTTTCCTCAACCAGCTGGCTGGCGGTTTGGAGGAGCCCACAAAAGTGGGGGAACTCCCCCACGGATGGGGGGTGGTGGTAACCATATTTCCCCCCCATAAGTTAAAATTGTAGGCATCTTTTTTTACAAAAAGGCTAAGCACACATTTTCTCAGTTGGTCTTTTAGAACAGTGGGCAGGCATCCTTCTTGCACCTATAAAGAACAATCAGCTAATGGTGGCTGCCAGTTTTGGACTTCCCCTTTGCCTAGCAGCCAATCAATGTCCAGGGATTGAACTGGGCCTTCCAGACGACAGCGATGAGCACCTGAAGGTGCTTTATACCGAATCGGACCATTGGTCCCTCAAATTCAGCGCTGTGTCTACTCAGATTGGCAGCTGCTCTCCTGGCAGAGGTCTTTCACATCACCTACTACTTGACCCTTACTGGAGGTGTGAGGGATTGAACCTGGGACCTTCTGCATGCCAAACAGATTCTCTGCCACTGAGCCATGATGACCCCTCCCCTCTTTCTGGGATGTCCCCATGCCTTGCCAGATCTACCGCAGACTTTACCATGGGTTGGTTTGCTTGCTACATATCTCCCCTGGCTTTCTTCCACCGTGAAGCTAGAGGCGCTGTGTGTAGAGTTCCCAGGAAGTCTCCTGACCGGGCCCAGATCAACTTATCTGGCGGCTTCATCATAGGCGCTCCAACCGTACCCAGGAAGTAGCATACCTTCCTTGGGATAATGTCACAAAGTGCTGTTGTTGTTCAGTCGTACAGTCAAGTCCGACTCTTCGTGACCCCATGGACCAGATCCCGCCAGGCCCTCTTGTCTTCCACCGTCCTCTGAAGTTGGCTCAATTTCATGTTCGTTGCATCGATGACACTGTCTAACCATCTCCTCCTTTGCCCTCCCCGTCTTCTTTGACCTTCAATCTTTCCCAGCATCAGGGTCTTCTCCAGGGAGTGCTCCCTTCTCATTGGGTGGCCAAAGTATTTGAGCTTCAGTTTCACTATCTGGCCTTTCAGGGAACAGTCAGGGTTGATTTCTTTTAGGATTGACTGATTTGATCGCCTTGCAGTTCAAGGGACTCTCAAGAGTCTTCTCCAGCACCATAGTTCAAAAGAATCTATTCTTCGGCGCTCGGCCTTCCTTATAGTCCAACTCTCGCAGCCATACATGACTACTGGGAATACCATTGCTTTGGCCATGCAGACTTTTGTTGGCAGGGTGATGTCTCTACTTTTATGCACAAAGTGCACAAGCCTCTTTTAGGGTTGTTAACTCCTGGAGATTTGAGGGGTGGTACCTGGAAAAGTCAGGGAGGGACCTCAAAGAGATATAATGCAACAGAATCCATCCTTCAAAGTAGCCATTTCCCCTCCAGGGAACTGATTTCTGTGGTCTGGAGATCTACAGAGACTACAGAGATGTTTCCCTGGAGAAAATGGCTGCTTTGGAGAGTAAACTCTATGGTGTCATGCCCTACTGAAGTCCCTCACCTCCCCGAACCCTGTCCTCCCCCAGACTCCACCCTCAAATCTCAGGAGTTTCTCAACCTGGATTTGGCAAGCCTGTGTACACTAGACAGGCTCCATCCCACGATGCAGAGTATACTCAGTTCTACACATATCTTGTCCGAGGGTGGAAATATCTGCATTTTCTCACTGAAGAAGAAGAAGAGAAGAGATTGGATTTATACCCCCGCCCTTCACTTGGAGTCTCAGAGCGGCTTACAAACTCCTCTCCCTTCCCCTCCCCACAACAGACGCCCTGTGAGGTGGGTGGGGCTGAGAGAGCTCTGACACAAACTGCTCTTTTTCAAGGACAGCTGTGCCAGAGCTTGTGACTGACCCAAGGTCACATCAGCAGGTGCAAGTGGAGGAGTGGGGAATCAAACCCGGTTCTCCCAGATTAGAGTCCGCGCACTTAACCACTACACCACTACACCAAACTGGCCTTTCCTGGGCACTTCCTGCAGGCATTTACCACATAGCAGTTCTGTGGGACCTCTGTCAGACTTCGGAATTCCACCTAAAGTCCCACTGATACGTCTGCAACTTGTGTGTTCCTAGTTCTGTGCAGAATTGCGGCCCTCGGTTGCTGTAAGCCCTGTACCCAATTCATCTCTTTTAGTGGTCGTGTTTGAGCGAGGCATAAGCTCTGCTTGCCTCCCCCTCTGCAGAAAGACGTAGGCCACTAAATTAGCACAGGGCATTAATTTCATTGCCTTGTAATTTACAGAGTCCCTCAAAAATGCCACCGTTGTTTTTTTGGGAAGGGGGGGGTTGCGACTTCAGAGTGAGGGATGCTACCTTGCCAGACAATCCATCTTTTTACGGAGGAGTCCAGAACTGAGCAGCCGTGGCAAATAGGTCGTTTGCTTAACTGTTCAGTACAGATGTGGTGGTGTGCTTTTAATCTCCCCCCCCCTTCCTTTTCTTTTTTGGTTTTTCCTCATCATATAAAACTTTGCAGGGCATAAAAAGGTAATAAAATTGGGAATAACGAGTTGCAGAGAGGCAGGATAGCGTGTGTTGCTTTTGGAAGGGTTATGTTATTGAACAAATGAGCTTGTTAACGTCCAAATCAAGATGGGTCTAGATCAGATTAACTGTGACTGGTAAAGTTGCCAGGTTCCTCGCCCCCCCCCCTTGGCCTTGGGCAGGTAGGGTTGCCATTCCTCGGTTTGGGGTGGGGGAGCCCCTGTTTTTGCGGGTTCCTGCCTGCGGCCAGTGAGCTGCCACTCCAAAAAAACAGCAACATTGCTGGAAATAAGCGCAATATGCCTATGTCAGTCAGAAAGGCCATAGGCATGTTAGTGACGTCGGGGAGTAACACTCTGGTTTGGGGGCAAAACTCTATGGTTTGAAGCTGATTTTACCATAGAGTTTTGCCCCAAAAGCAGAGTGTTGCTCTAGATGTCACCAACATGCATATGTCACTTCCGGGTGATGTAGGCATGTCATGTGACATCACTTCCCACCAGGGCTTTTTTTGTAGAAAAAGCCCAGCAGGAACTCATTAGCATAATAAGCCACACCCAACAGCAGAAACTCATTAGCATTTAAGCCACATCCCTGGCAGCACAGCTCATTAGCATATTAGGCCACACCCCCATGTTACCAGAACTGTGGTCATCCAACCACACCCACCTTTTGCTTCTTATTCTGTTTACTTTGTTGTCAAAACTCTGGGCTTTTTTTGTAGCAGGAACTTCTTTGCATGTTAGGCAACGCACGTCTAATGTAGCCCATCCTAATGAGTTCCTGCTGTTGGGTGTGGCCTGTTATGCTAATGAGTTCCTGCTGGGCATGGCCAACTCAGGAGCCAGCTGGAACTCCGTTCCTGTGCGTTCCTGCCCCAAAATAGCCCTGCTTCCCACTCTTGGAACATCCCCCCCCCCCGCCGGTGTTTCTGACTTACCTGGCAACCCTACCGGCAGGGAGTGGGAACGTAGGGTAGCCAGATCCCAGTTGGGAAACTCCTGGAGATTGAGGATGGAGCCTGGGGAGGACAGGGACCTCAGTGGGGTACAGTGGCATAGAGTCCATCCTCCAAAGCAGCCATTTTCTCCAGGGGAACTGATCTTTACAGCCTGTAGATGAGCTGTAGTTCCAGGGGATTCCCCAAGTCTCACCTGGAGGGTGGCATCCCTAGTGACTGGTCCAGACGTTTGGCTGTTGGGTCATTCTAGCTTGTGCGTGAATCCGAAGGCGGGATGGCTCATTTGTGTCCTCTTCCCTTCCCTAGCCTTTCCGGTGTGCTCACTGCCATTATTCCTGCAATATATCTGGCTCCCTGAAGAGGCATTACAACAGGAAGCATCCTAATGAGGAGTACGTCAATGCAGGTTCCGGCGAGCTGGCGGCCGAAGCTCTTCTCCAACAAGGTCTGTTTAAAAGCATCGTGCAAATTCAGATACAATTTACATATCTCGTGCAGGAATGTGCTCCAGCACTAGTAGCCTTTTAAGCAGTGGGAGGGAATGGGTTTATTTTTTTGTGCTCCCCAGGGAAGGTCTTTTTGGAATGGCTTTCACTAAATAACACTTGTCTGCAGAGCTGGCATTAACCTAAGCTGAGGTGGGGAAGCTGCCAAGGCTTCTGGCAGGGCCCACTGCCTGCCTGCCTGCCTGCCTGCCTGCCTGCCTGCCTGCCTGCCTGCCTGCCTGCCTGCCTGCCTTCCTTCCTTCCTTCCTTCCTGCCTTCCTTCCTTCCTTCCTTCCTTCCTTCCTTCCTTCCTTCCTTCCTTCCTTCCTTCCTTC